TATATATATAAGAATATTTTAAAAACAGAAAAATCTAGTAGTAATATTGGAGTATTAAATTTCTACTTTTTTTTATTTCCCAGATATCAGACCCTACATTAGCTGAAATGGGAAAAAACTTGAAGGAGGCCATGCGGATGCTAGAGAACAGTCAGAGGTGAGCATGTGAGGCAGAGCCACCCTGTCCAGCATGTCCAGCCTGTTTTGAAACTGGTAGCTATGGTTTCTTCCTGTTAAAGATACCTCCCATCTCGAAAATGTGATTTTTTGCTGATTTTATTGTTTTTGTTTTGGTTTGTTTGAGACAGGGTCTCACTGTGTAGCCCCAACTGTCCTGGGGACTTCACTATATAGACCAACCTGGCCTCTAACTCCTAGAGATCCACCAGCCTCTGCCTCCTGAGTGCTGGAATTAAAGGCATGCACCACCACACCCAGCAGCTTCTGCTGACATTAAATTGGTATTTGTCTTTGGTAGAAGATGCTTTGCAATGAAAAGATTTTGAAGTTGTAAGGAAGAACTTTTCAGTTCTACTTGTTTAAAGTTTCATTTACATAATGTATTGATTTGAATTTATAAATACTTCTTACTATAGACTCAAGTTATATAGGGTTTCAGCTAACCAAGCAAGTGGCTTTTCCACATTCTTTTCATGAAACTCTAAAGTATATCTAAAACTGGGATCTAGGGAGATGTGATAAATGTGTTACAAATTGTCCATGAGTCACTAAGAGGTGCTAGGTAATGTCACCTGTTTACATGTACAAATGTGAGAAATTTGTATAAAGCATAATTTTTTTTTCTTTTCTTTATACTAGAAGAATAGAGGAAGAAAATGGAAAGAAACTCATCTCAGAGGACATTCCAGGGCCACTCCAGGGCAGGTAGGTGGCAGTGAGGATTAATACCTTTAGTTTAGTTTGAATGAGCACCAAGATAATTTAAGTAGTTATGTGCAGTAGAGCATTAGAAAGCAAATGCCATTGTCTGGCAAAAGTCTGAGCCTACCAGTGTCTTTCTCTCCTAGAACTTTGCTGTTTGTTTGGGTTTGTATGTTTGTTTGAGACACCGGGTTTCACTGTGTAGCTTGGGCTTGCCTTGATCTGGTAGCAATTTCTTGCTTCAGCTTTCTGAGTAGTAGAGTACAGACATGGGCCACCATTCCTGGCTCCCTTTCAGAAGTTAATATACGACTCAAAAGCTATTCATGAATTTGTAATTATAACTGGACTATCATACTTTGCTCATTCTTGAAACCTGTAATCTCATTATAAAGAGGTATTTAAATGAAACAAAAGTGTCAGAATGATTAATTCGTTGGCATCTAAAACAAATTTATCAAGTTCTTGTTTGACCTAGCAGAAAAAAATAAGTAGCTGGCTATAGTTTTCACAGGATGCTACCCCTCAATCTAGAATTAAAGTCTCCACCCAGCCTCCCTGAGACAAACTAATTTTTTTCTTTTATAACCAGGAAACTGCACATAGGTCAACAGTACAACTCCCTTAAATTGTTCTTTAACCTGAGTATCAATTATACTAGTCTGCAAAAGGAAAGAAAAACACAGAGGTATGACATACACCATACAGTAAATGTTAGGTCTCCCGCACCCAGATTCTGTTGTTTTTGAACTGTTGCTCCTGACTGTAGCATATGAATCATGCTAATTTGAAATCTTTTAGGTGTGTAGTGCTTTCTGCCTCTTAGAATGAAAAACAAATCTTGTCTCCTTGTCCCAGGTGTGAAGGCACAAAGAGGTTTAAGACTTGTTTATTCTCCTGATTGCACTGAAGTTTCTCTAAAAGAGAATATCTGAAATTCTCAGAATGACAGCACATTAAAAATACTAAAACAGCCAGGTGTGGTGGCGCACACCTTTAGTGAGGATCTCTGAATTCAAGGCCAGCCTAGTCTACATAGTGAGTTCCAGGCCAGCTGGGGCTACAGGGAGACCCTGTCTCAAAAAGACAGAAAAAAAAAAACAAAACTAAAACTAAAACAATCAGAAGTAAGAAGCATTCACCTTCAATAATGTTTATGTCCAGTATTTGCAATCTAGTAAAATGGCTGGCTGGCTTTACATTAGGTGCTTTACAGGTAATGTCTGATTATATCTTCCCTGTTCTATAAGGAATGGGCTCAGGGACTTTGGATCTCTTTCTTACTCAAGGTCACAAGGATAGTAGCCAAGCATGCTTCAGGTTCCCTTCCCTGCCCTTAACTCTTCAATGTCCAAGGACCAGAGCATCGCACTTTCAGGTTAACACCTTTGAAAAGATGGGTTTTGGAGCATTGTTTTGATAGTGCATCTTTTATTTATTACTATTTATGTGGTACTAGGAATTGAACTCCAGGCATGGTAGGCAAGCTGTCTACTGCTGAACTTTTTCTCTACTATATTCCTCCTATCTTTCTCTTTTTAAAATATTTTATCTTGCCAGGTGTTGTGGCACACACCTTTAATCCTAGCACTTGAGAGGCAGAGGCAGGTGAGTTCGAGGCTAGCCTGGTCTACATAGTGAGTTAGGGAGACCCTATCTCAAAAAGATCAAAAAAAAATTTTTATTTTATTTTGTGTGTATGAGTGTATTGCCTGCATGTATGTAAGTGCACCCATGTCTAGCTATGCCCAAGGAGGCCAGAAGAGGGTGTCAGATCCCCTGGAACTGGAGTTATAGACAGTTGTTAGCCACCATATGGGTGCTAGGAACCAAACCCGGGTCCTCTGTGAGAGTAACCAGTGCTCTTAACTGCTGAGCCATCTCTCCTGCCCATGTTTCTCTTTTTAAAGAGAAAAATGTTATTAATAATATTCTTATTAATTGAGAATATTTTTACATTATATGCTCCACAAATTGCCTTGGCATTTCATACTATTTTGGACATATTTTTCTCATGAGTTTCCATCTTTTCATTTTAAGGAGCAGTTAGTAACATGCCTTGAACAGAAGTCAGTCTGTTTACACTCTAAGCAAATCTCAAATTTCCCAACTTGGAGAAGAGTTGGAAATAAATAATGGTTATATTACATGTTTAATTAAGGCTGTTGGTTCAGGTAGACCGAGATATACTAGTAGTACTAGAGTATTCATACTGGTTTTAGGACCTTCTAGCATCTTAAAGACTTTGGCTCTTTTTTTTTCTTTTTTTTAATATTTTATTATTTTTGTGTGTGTGTTTTGCCTGCATGTATGTAAGTGCACCCATGTGCAAAAGCAGAAGAGGACTTTGGATCCCCTGGAACTAGAGTTAGGGTGTTAGCCACCATGTGGATGCTGGGAACTGAACCTGGGTCCTCTCCAAGAGCAGTCAGTGCTCTTAATCACTGAGCCATCTCTCCATCCCCAAGCAGAGAATATTTAATAAGCATGTTATAAGACCCAAAGTCAGACTGGAGAGAGTGGCCCAGTGGTTAAAAACGCTGGCTACTCTTGCAGAGGGCCTAGGTTGGATTCCCAGCACCCACATGGTAGCTAACAACTGTCTGTAACTCCAGTTCCAGGTAATCCAGCGCCCTCTTCTGACCTCTGTGGGTATTGCATGATATAGTGTATTTACACACATGTAGGCAATAAGCTCATATATACAAACTAAAAGTAAGTAAAATATTTAAATATTTTCTGCTCTACTCCAGGAATGAAGTGATCCAATATGGAAGTATTGGATCTAGAGCAAAGGTGAAAATATTTTCAAAATATTTCAGTTTGAAAATATTTTCAAAAGTTAAACTCTCATTTGGGCCAAAGAATTAGTCACAAATAAGATCATATTCAGGATTCAGTTTATAATTTGAGAATTTTGAAAAAATACATAAACTCTGGTCTCAGAACATTCTTTTGTAGCTAGCTACTCAACTTGAAAAAAGAACTTTTAAAGTTAGGTTGAATGAGACAGATAGTTGGGAGATGAAAAGAAAGGGGTGTGTGCTCTTTCCACTCATCTAACTCTTTTTGTTCTGCAGTGGACAAGATATGGTGAGCATCCTCCAGTTAGTTCAGAATCTGATGCATGGAGATGAAGATGAAGAGCCCCAGAGTGCCCGGTACTGGAGAAGTATTGGCAGCTTGCCTTTGGAAGTCTGTTCTTGATTTCAGTAGTTATTCCGTTCTCACAAATGACCTAAAAGAGAACTTGTACTTCACTGAGTTATATTGATATGATACTAAAGTAATGTTCATTTTCTCTATTCAGAAAGATGTTTATGCAATGTAGGTAATATGGGGTTGGTTTTTTTGTTTTGTTTTTTTTTTTTTTTTGGTTTTTTTGAGACAAGGTCTCCCTATAGCCCCAGCTGTCCTGGATTCACCATGGAGACCAGGCTGGCCTCGAACTCACAGAGATCCGCCTGCCTCTGCCTCCCAAGTGCTGGGATTAAAGATGTGAGCCACCATACTCGGCTAGATAGTATGTTTTATAAAAGGAAAGCATTTACTAAAAGTAGATCCTGACATTTCTATGGTATTAGGTCTTGTAAAGAACCACTAGAGGTGTACATGCTTTTCTGTTTCTGCTTCAGCTTGCTAAGAATTGCTGAGGCTAAATTGATTGGTGAAAGCCTACATTGTGCGTCATCCATTTGTTTTATTTATTCATCTGTGTAATGTATTTAAATGAATGTATTTTCATTTTGTCTATTGAAAATATGAATTTTTTTTGTTTTTTGTCTTTTGAGACAAGGTCTCCCTGTAGTCCCAGCTGACCTGAACTCACTATGTAGACCAGTCTGGACTTGAACTCACAAGGATCTGCCTGCCTCTGCCTCCCAAGTGTTGGGATTAAAGGCGTGAGTCACCACACCCAGCTTGAATTTATTCTTGTGTGTATGTGTGTGTGTGCGTGCACGCTCATGTGCAAAGTTGTGTTGAGTGTCTGCCATGCTTTGTGCCATTAGTGCCCACAGAGACTATAAGAGGGTGTTGGATCCCCTCTGGAGCTGAAGTTGCCGGCAGTTTTGAGCCTTTCTGTGGGTACTGGAAGCCAAACTCAAGTCCTCTAGATGGGCAGTAAATACTCTTAAGTACTGAGCCATCTCTCCTGCCCCGTTTTGTCTTTAACTTTTTTGTAATCAGTAATACATTTTCTGTGTTCAAAATTCAGAAGATAAGCTGGGCATGGTGATTACACCTATAATCCTAGCATTCTAGAGGAAGAAGCAATGAGGCCACAAATTTGAAGCTAGTCCAGTACATGACCCTATCTCAAAACAAAGCAGAATAAAACTGAGAAGAAAAGGTGTATATTTTTTCAGGCTAGGATTATAGGTTGGTGGTAGGTAGCACAGATAAGGCCCTAAATTCAGTTCCCAGCACCAAAACACAAACACACACACACACACACACTTTTTCCATCCTGTCTCTGCCTCCCTACCTTTTTCTCTTTCATAGAGATAGACTGACCAGTTTATTATTCCACAGATATATATATACATATATATATACACACACATATATGTACATATGTATGTATGTGTATGCAGACAAAACATCCAGACCCACCCCTCCAGTACATAAATACCGCACATCTTGGTTTTTTACATATATCTTGAAGTTCATTGTATATCACACAAGGAGCCTTCTCTTTGTGAAGAGCAACTGTGTTTTTGGTTGGATGAACTGAATTTTATCGTTTCTCTTATTTTACTGACATAAGCATTGCTGTAACCAATACTTTAAGCATATGTCAGTCCTTGTAGAGACAAGTATGTTTGGGGAGTAAGTCATAGAAGTGGGATTTCTGGGTCAGATAATGTGTACATTTGGAATTCCAGTAGAGCCAAATTTTGCTCCTAAGAATTGAGCCAGTTCATAGTCCCACCACCAATGTAGGAGAACACTTCTTTTTCCATGCCTTTGCTGCAGCGGTGTTAGCAAATTTAAGGACTTTTTATTAAAGTGATAAGTGAGAAATACAAGGCGAGGTATTTAATTAAATAAGCATTTCTCTTATGAGCTAGATTGTGTGTTTTCAGTCTGTTTGAAGACTTGTTTGGGACTGGGGTGTAACTCAGTTGTAGAATACTTGCCAGCATGCACAAGATCATAGGTTCAAGTCACAGAATCTTTAAAAAAAAAAAAAAAGGCTGCCACTTGTGTGCAGATGCCTGAGGAGGCCAGAAGAGGTTGTTAGAGCTTCTGGAGCTGGAATTACAGGCACACTGACATTTATGCCGGCATCTGAACTTGGGCCCTTCGAAAGAGCAATAAGCACTCTTAATCACTAAGCCATCTCTCCAGCTCCCTAAAAAGGCTTCTTTCTTTTTCCCTTCCTATGTCTTTGTCCAAGACCCTATTCAGTTCTTTATCTTTCTCTTGCTGTTTACAGTTAGGTTCATGTTCATATATCCCTCCCATTTCTGTTTACCGCCCTCTCTCCCCCTCCCTCCCCCCTTTCTCTGCTCCTTTCCACTATCATCACTCCCTCCCTTTGTCTCCCCCCGTTTCTTTCTCTCCTTCCCCACCACCTCTCTCTTTTCCTGTTTTTCCCTTTCCACCTTCCAAGGTCTCACTGTGTAGTTCTGGCTACCTTGAAACTTGCTTATATAGACTAAACTGCTGTGAACTTCTGCCTCTTTCCTTAGTGCTGGGATTGTAAATATGCACCATATGCCCATCGTTACTCTTATAAAGAAAATTATTCATCTATTTTAATACAAAACATCTAATTCCCTTTGAATTTGCTGTGTTATTTCTTTTTTGATTTTCCGCTTGTTTTTGAGACAGGGTTGTATAGCCTTGGCTGGGCTTGAACATAGGATCTTCTGCCTCTACCTCTTAAGTGCTAGGATGCTTTATTCTTTCCAATAGATATTTCATGCAGGAAAGTGATCTTTAATAATTATTTTTAAAATGTTTCTGCCCATTTTATTTTATGTCTGTCCTCTGGTGGTTCCTTGTTTCATTGTTTTCTTGGTACTGTGGCTAGAACCCAGAGCCTCACTCATACTGGCAAGCACCTTACAATTGAGCTACATTACTAACCCTTCCTCTGTAGTTAAGATTGGTATTTAACTATATTGTAAGGCAAGTATTTAACTATAAGAGAGAATTATTCTGAAACAGTTTGTGTATTCTCAATAAAGAGAGGGATATTTATCTTTTAGGACCCAATTTTAAAAGTATTTTTTCCCCAAACTTTGAGTATCTTACACCCATTGAGTTTTCTGAATTTCTCTGTAGGATATCTGGTGAATTTCAAGTCTAATACATTTTTGTGAAACACTCTGTACTTTCATTTCCTTTTCTATGTTTTGAGTCTAATACTTTTTAGTAACCTAATGAATTTTGATTACAGAATCCAGAATATTGGAGAACAAGGTCACATGGCTCTGTTGGGTCACAGTCTGGGCGCTTATATTTCAACTCTGGACAAAGAGAGGCTGAGAAAACTTACAACCAGGATACTTTCAGACACTACCTTATGGCTGTGCCGGATTTTCAGGTAAAAACGTTAATGAAGTTTTGTTTTTAAGAGTTTTTTTTTTTTAATGCATAATATGTATAGAGTGTTTTGCCTGCATGTATGCATGCATTGGATGGTGTTGAATCCCCTGGAACTGAAATTACAGAAGATTGTTAGCTGCCACGTGGGTGCTGGGAACCAATACCTGGTCCTCAGCAAGAGCAGCCAGTGCTCTTAACTGCTGAGCAAGCTCTCCAGCCCTGTGCCTGGCTTTGACTCTTTTTTGGAAGGGTTGCTTAGCATCTCCATGCCTCAGTTTTGTCATGTATTAAATGAGCAAAGCATTGATGGCTATTTCATGTGAGGATTAAATGAGTGCATAGATTCATACTTTTTTTTGGGGGGGGCGGTCTTTTTAAGACAGGGTCTTCCTGTAGCCCCAGCTGTCCTGGAACTCACTATGTAGACCAGGCTGGCCTTGAACTCACAGAGATCCACCTGCCTCTGCCTACCCCACCACACCCAACCCCATAGATTCATACTTTTAAGGAACTGCCTCCCGAATGCTGGGATTAAAGGCATTTGCCACCATAACCAGCTCAGACTAGCATTTTTGACATTTCATTTATTTTAGATGTTTTAGGGCTGAAACTCTATTAACAACCATGTCTACCTGTACCACTAGCCTTCACGTAGAATAAAACAGAGCCATCATCCTCAGGCTTTTTGTTTCTGGGGGACTTTTAGTCTCTGTTTGTTCCCATAGTTTCTGTTCTTTGTGTTTCTGGAGTTGGGTGTGGATGGAAGGTCCTTGCTTCTCTCCTTTATAACCTCCACCTGTAGTAAGTAGTCAGCTATTGAAGATGAGGGAGCATCACATTCTTGTCCCCTGCATGATCTAGGTAGCAGTGTCTAGCTTGAGAAGAGAATTGCTTCCATGATTATACAACTAATATAAAATCAGAAATAGCTAGAAAGTACATTAAATATATGGGATCTCTTAATAGGTATGAAAATGGCTGTGCTTATTTCCATGAAGAAGAGAGAGAAGGACTTGCCAAGATCTGCAAGCTTGCCATTCATTCTCGGTATGAAGACTTTGTAGTGGATGGATTCAACGTGTTATATAACAAAAAGCCTGTTATATATCTTAGTGCTGCTGCTAGACCTGGCTTGGGACAATACCTTTGTAATCAGGTAATGTGGCAAAAGACAGAGGTGTTTTTTCCCCCCTTCATTTTTCATATCTCTGTGTATACATGTGTGTGTGTGTGCATGGTTTTGCATGTATGTGGGTACATATGTCCGTGGGTACATGTGCACATGTATACGTGTTCATGTGAAATTCCAAGGTTGATGTCAGGAATCATCCTTAATCCCTCTTCCACCTTATTTATTGAGGAAGGGTTTCTCAGTCAAACCAGAGTTTGCCAGTACGGCTAGTCTTACTAGCCACCTTGCTCTGGGGATCTCTGTCTCTGCCTTCCAGGGCTGAAATTACAGGTAAGCCATCATGCCTACCTGGCATTTTCATGAGTTTCTGGTGATCAAAACTCTGGTCCTCACACTTGGTGTGGCAAGTGCTTTAATTACTGAGCTATCTCCTCAGCTCCAAAGATAATATTTTTTAATTCATTTTTATTTGTGTGTATTTGTTCCTGCTTGTCTGTATGTGCACCATGTGTGTGCAGGTTCTTGGAGAGGCCAAAGGAGGGTGTTACAGGTGATTGTGAGCCTACTGATGTGGGTGTTGGGAACTGAACCAGATCCTCTGTAGGCACAGCAAATGCTCTTAATGTTTGAGACATCTCTCTAGCCCTCACTCCAAATAGATATTTTAAAGAAAAAAGGTCATGTGGTTCAGTTTTTGGTTTGTAGTGCTAGAGATCAACCCAAGGCTTCACATATGCTAGGTGAGCACTATACCACTGAGCTACACCCCTACCTCCAATGCTTTGTCTTTTAAACTTTTTTTAGATTTTTTTTTCCATTTATGTATATGTGTGTGTATGCCACATGTGCGCGTGCCCACAGAGACCAGAAGAGGGCATCAGATCCCTTGACTTCTGTGGGCACTACATGCATGTAGTACACATACATGCATGCAGGCAAACAAATAAAATGAAAATAAATCTTTTTTTGTTTGTTTGTTTGAGACAGGATCTTCCTTATAGCCCCCGCTAGCCTGGAACTCACTATGTAGAACTTATTTTTAAAAATAAGAAATAAACTGGGCATGGTGGCGCATGCCTTTAATCCCAGCACTCGGGAGGCAGAGGCAGGCGGATCTCTGAGTTCAAGGCCAGCCTGGTCTACATAGTGAGTTCCAGGACAGCTGGGGCTACAGGGAGACCCTGTCTCAAAAAAGACCGAAAAAAAAAAAAAGAAAGAAATAATAGTTGTTTTGTTTGAGACAGGGTCTCAAACTGGTCTGGAACTTAATATGTAGATGAGGCTGGCCTTGAACTCACAGAGATCCACCTGCCTTTGCCTCCCAGGTGCTGGAATTAAAGGTGTGAGCTACCACACCTAACTATGAAATAATAGTGTGGTTTTTTATTTGTTTTTTAAATAATAGTTTAAAAAAAATGCAATAAATTTTTTCTTGATATCTTCCTGATAATTCTTCAAGTGAGTATGTGCTCATTTAATGATTATTTCCCTTTTAGACAATTAGAGCCTGTCCATTCTCTTGCTTTCTGTCACCATTTTCAGGTAATGCTCTTTGTTACAGACATCTGTATACATAAACTTTTTCTAGATTTAGAGTTATGTTCCTCTGATAGATTATGTTGTTTTTGTTTGAGACAGGGTCTCGTGTATCCCAGGTGGGTCTTGAAGTCACTTTGTAGCAGAGGATGGATGATCTTGAACTTTGGATCTCCCTGCCCCTGCCTCCCATGTGCTGGAATTCCAGGGGTGTGTCACCATCTCATACCCAATTTGTGGTGTTGAAAATCAAACCCAGGGCTTCATGCATGCTAGACAAGCACTTGGTTAACTTAACTGCATCCCAGGCCTTGTTTTGGGGATTTGTTTTTTTTTGTTTGCTTTGTTTTTGAGACAGGGTCTTGCTGTGTATCCCTGGCTGACCTGGTACCTGCTGTGTAGCCCAGCCTGGCCTTGAACTTAACAGCAGTCCTGCTGCCTTGACTGCCTGAGTACTGGGATTACAGGCTCCCCAGTGAATATTACCAGTTTTAAAGCTCATGGTATAGCCCATTTACCAGGGGGAAATCCATCTTCAAAGATGTGTGAGGGATAGGGGTTGGCTCAGCAGGTAAAGACACTTGCCTCCATGTCTGACAACCTGAGTTTGATTCCCGGAACCCACGTGATTACCAACTGCCACAAGCTGTCTTTTGACTTCCACACCCATGCTGTAAAATACATGCACACACAAAATAAATGTGAAAGAAAGATGTGTGAGTATTCTGATAAGTGAGAAAAACAAATGGCAGAACAGTAATTTAAGATGGTCATGAGCTAGAGAGATGGCTCAGCGGTTAAGAGCACTTGCTGCTCTTCCAGAGGACCAGAATTCAGTTTGTAGCACTCATATCAGGTGGCTCACAAGCACCTGTAACTCTAGCTCCAGGGGATCTGACGCCCTCTTCTGGCTTCCACAGGCAGCTGCATACAGGTGGCATCTTCTGTCAGACACACGTACACATAATTAAAAGTTTTTTTTTTTTTTTAAATCTCAGCATTTGGGAAGACAGAGGCCAGTGGATTTCTGTGAGTTCAAGGCCAGCTTGTCTACATAGTGAGTTCCAGACTAGCCAGTGCTACACAGTGAGGCCCTCAAAATAATAAAACAAGATGATCAAGCTTATGTTTTAAAAAGCATGTGCATGCTTATAGACGTTTCTTTTTATGTGTATGAGTGTTATGCCTGCATGTATGTAAGTATACCTATGTCATTCAGTATCTGCAGAGGACAAAAGAGGGTGTTGGATCCCTTGGAACTGGAGTCACAGATGGTTGTTAGCCACCAGGTAGGTGCTGGGATTCAAACCCCAATCTTCTGCAAGAGCAGCCAGTGCTCTTACCTGCTGAGCCAGCTCTCCAGCCCCTTGTATACATGTTTTACACCTAGAAAAATTGATAGATTTCTCTAAAACCATGTATTTATACTTATAAAATATCTGGCAAGTTCTATACTAAGCTGTTACTAGTAGTACATCAGTGGCTTATGGGAGATATTTTCACTTAAAATGTTTTTGTTTTATTGGTGGTACTGTGAATTGAACCCAAACTTGTATGTGCTAAGGAAGCTGTCTTCTACTTACCTATGTCCTCAGCCCTTTTATTTTATTTATTTATTTATTTTTTTTGGTCTTTTTGAGACAGGGTCTCCCTGTAGCCCCAGCTGTCCTGGAACTCACTATGTAGACCAGGCTGGCCTTGAACTCACAGAGATCCACCTGCCTCTGCCTACAAGTGCTGGGATTAAAGGTGTGCGCCACCACGCCCAGCCCAACCCTTTTAAATTTTAAGACAATTTTGCTGGGCATGGTAGTACTCCTTTAATCCCAGGATGCAGGAGGATTACCCAGGTTGGTTTGGAACTCAATTATCTGGTTCTCATTCCTTAGCCTCCTGAGATTACATTAGAAGTGTGAGCCACCATGCCGGATTGGTTTTTTTTCAGACAAAGTCTTCTCATATATGTAGACCAGACTGGCCTGGAGCTAACTTACTGTGTGGCTCAGGATGGTTCTGAACTCTCTATCCTCTTTCCATAGTCTCCCAAGTACTGGGATTTCAGGTTTGTGCCAGCCTTTTAAAAGTTTTTTTTTTTTTCTTCTGTTTTCTGGGGCGGGGGGGGGGGTCCTTTCTTTTTGCTTGGTTTGGTTTGGTTTGGTTTTAACACTTGAAGGCATAGTGTGAAGCTCAGTGGCAGAGCACTTGCCTGGCATGCAAAGGCCCTGGGTTCAGTCCCTGGCACTGCCAAAAAAAAATCCCTACAAAAAAAATCCTCTAAGGAAGAAATGTGTGAGAAAAGCACTCATTACATTTTGTGGATTTTATGATACTGAGTCTTAATTATACAGAACAATATGCTGTAACTGTTTATAGTTCCTCAAACTATAAACTCCTTGTGGAGTTTTGGAAGCTAAACATTAGGAATATATGATTAATTTGACAATTTTCTCCATCCATAGCATGTACTTGAAGCCTGGCTTCTTTAAGCAGTGTCCATCTGTTAATCCATATTTATTACTGTAGGGGTGGGGGGACCCATAAATAAGGTACTGTTCTCTAAATGCCTTTAGTTGGTGTCATTTACAAGTGATGCTTGGAAGAAGAATCCCAGATTGCCCCCACCCCATGCTTTGTGCTCGGTAGTTTCTTTGTTTCGAAAAGTCTCTGGGTTTTTTTGCTACATTCTAGAATATATCAAAGACATGACTCATGTAGAGTAGCTTACATTGTATCTTCTTGTAAAACACCTGACAATTACCCTCTTGGGGTGAGAGTTTAACTTTTCAAATGTGCTTTAATAATCTGTTGCTGGGGGAGAAGTGGATTTTTCCCCCCTTGAGACAGTCTCACTGTGTAGAGAAGGCTGGCTTCATACACATGATCCTCCAGTTTCAGCATCCTGACTACCAGGATAACACATACACCACCATACTCCCACTAAGATTTTTTTTTTAATTATTCTTTTTGGTCTTTGAGACAGGGTCTCCCTGTATGGCAACCAGACTAACCTTGAACGCACAGAGATCTGCTGGCCTCTGCCTCCCAAGAGCTGTCATTAAAGGCATACACCACCATGCCCGGCTAAGATGTTTTATTTTTAAAGGAATAATTGTAACTTGTCTTTATTGCTTAGGCTTCTACAGTCATAAGTGAGTTGTGACAAAGGTCTTCTAAAGTTATGTTTCTTCTTGCAGCTTGGCTTGCCATTCCCCTGCTTATGCCGTGTGCCCTGTAACACTATGTTTGGATCCCAGCATCAAATGGTAAGTTTGCCTTTTGGTTTATAATGTAATATGGAATTGCATTTTGAAACTGCCTCTTTTTTTGAGACAGGGTCTCCCTGTAGCCCCAGCTGGTCTAGAAGTCACTATGTAGAGCGGGCTGGCCTCGATCTCATTGAAGTCCACATACCTCTGCCTCCCAAGTGGTGGGACTAAAAGGCATGCAGTGTGCCATCACACCCTGGCCCAAGTCTTCCTTCCAACTTTATCTGGAGTTGTGTTTGCTGACCTCCAGATAGCTACCAGCTTGTTCATTTATTGCTTCAGCCCTTCCATTGTGTAATATATGCTTCTCTGTTTGAATGTCTGTGGTTAGCCTATGTAGCTCTTATGGAATCTTGTGATCCATGCTGTCATGTAGCTCTTATGGAATCTTGTGATCCATGCTGTCACCTCTTTTGGGGTGTGTGTTTGGTGCTGGGACCTCTTGCATGCTAAGTACCAACTCTGCCTAGCTCTTTCATCATTAAGTAGAAACACAGCATTCCAGTTAAGCACTCCTTGTAAAGTTCAGTTAGTCATCACTATTGCCTGGACCTCTGAGCAAACAGATATTGTTTTGTTGAGACAAGATCTCCCTAGGAAACTCAGGTTGCTTCAAGCTTGTGATCTTCTTTGCCTTGCCTTTCAATTGTGAATGTGCAGACTTTGAAATGAAGTCTTTCATTGTAATCTTGGGGTTGAGTTCTGATAATAGACATGCAAGTGATAAACATCTTCACACTGAAGATAGAAAAGATAAATTCTAGAATTCTACTTTTTTTTTTTTTGTCTTTTTGAGACAGGGTCTCCCTCTTTGTAGCCCCAGCTGTCCTGGAATTCACTATGTAGAGGCTGGCCTTGAACTCAGAGTTCCACCTGCCTCTGCCTCCCGAGTGCTGGGATTAAAGGTGTGTGCCACCATGCCTGGCTGGAGTAACTTTTTTAAATGGAATATTCTACATAGTTAAAAGTTAGTGTTGGGGCTGGAGAGATGGCTCAGCAGTTAAGAGCACTGACTGCTCTAGTAGAAGACCCGGGTTTGATTCCCAGCACCCACATGG